CCCACTCCCGTCCCCCCCCCGCCACGCCGGCGCCATCGCCGGCACGCCCCAGCCGCTGCCAGTGTGCAGAGAGCCCTCGCCCGCGCCGAGGACGCGACTGCGCCCCGCCGCGCCTCCCGTCCCGTGCCGCGCGCGCTCCAGCTTGGAGCCGGCGCGGCGTTCCGCGCGCTGCGGTGGGCACGGGCCGCGCGTGGGCGGCGGGAGCCGCGACGGCGCGCGGCCTGCGGAGCTCTCTCAAGCTGCGCAGGCGGAGTAGGCCCGGAGCATCGCGCACGCGATGCTCAGCGAGCGCTGCGGCGCTCGCGTGCTGCCCGTTCCGCCCCGTGCAGTGGGCAGAGCACCGCGCGGAGCCAGAGGAGCCCGACGTGCTTTTTTGCTGGCCGCCTCTGCGCCCCGCGGCGGTCCGCTTGCCTTCGCTCGATGCCAGCACGTCCCTTCTCCACGCGCGAGGGTCGCCTCGCCCCGCGCCTGCCGCACGTCCTGGGGCCTCGATGCCGAGAGGGGCGCAGCGTCTGCACCCGAAGGGCTTGCCGCTCTTGAGCGGCAGGGGCCCCCGAGCCTCCCCCTCTCGCCTCCTCCGCCCTCTCCTGCCATGTGTTCGACGACACGTAAGAGTGACCCTTCGCCGGAGTGACCTTTGGGTGTGGGCCCAACGGGGTCCCCCGATCGCCGAGCGCGAGGCGGCGGTAGCGTCTTGCGCGCCTGTGCGTTGGTCGCCCCGCGGCCCCCAGAAAGCCGCGCGCCCGAGGTCCCTCTTGCCCAGGGTCATCCTTGATGTGCAGCCGATGCGTGTGTGCCTCTCGCTGCGGCGGCGGCGGAGCGAGCGTCGGTCCTGGCAGCCTAGGCGTGGGCGAACAAGTCCCGAACGGGTTGTGCCCGAATGTTTTTTTTTGCTGGCTTGGCGCAGGTTTCGCCTGTGGATGTAGCGCTCTTCAGGGGAGATGTTCGCGTGGAAGATCAAAAAACGTTGCGGTCACTAGCGTCGAAGAACAACAACGCCATGAACATAAACTTGTGGCGCTCCGCGCGGAGTTCTTCGATCCGCGCTGGGCCCCCCTGGCGGCGCCTCTGGCGCCCCCCTGGCGCGCCACGCGCGCCATGGAGGCGGGTCCAGTGCAGATCTAAGACATCCGCGCGGAGCGCCGAGAGTTTGTGTTCTTGCCGTTTCTTCCTCTTCCGTAGCGGTCGGAGCGTTCAGCGGAGTGCCAGATGCACCACGTCGGCTGGCCACGCCTTCCTCACCTTGTGCCTAGCACAAGAGGAACGACTCCCTCTCTGGATCGCGCGCTGTTTTTCCGGTTCGCCCGCTGGAACCATGAGTTGAACATCAATATTTGGAAGCTCCAGAGGGAGAGCGGCGCCTGGAAAAAGTTTAGCCCAGAATAAGGAGTCCTTTGACAAGTCATCAGCCTGGCGAAGGGCCCAACCAGATGCAGTTGTGGGCTCCGTCGTTGTATCCACCCCATCCGGTGGAGCTCCCTATGGGGGCGCGAAACGTGTGAGGGGTGTGCCAGAATGGGTGCGGCGGCCGCACGCGAGCGCTGGCATCTGGGCCTTCGGTGGAGCTCCTGTGGCGTCACGAAACGTTTGAGGGGCGTGCCAAAATGTCGGCGGCCGCATGCGAGCGCTGGCATCTGGGCCTTCGGTGGAGCTCCCGAAACATTGGAGGGGTGTACCAAAACGGGCGCGGCGGGCGCATGCGAGCGATGGCACCTGGGCCTTCGTCGGTGGAGCTCCTGTGGGGCCACGAAACGTGTGAGGGGCGTGCCAAAATGGGTGCGGCGGCCGCTTACGAGCGCTGGCATCTGGGTTTTGGTGGAGCTCCCTATGTGGCCACGATACGCGTGAGGGGTGTGCCAAAATGGCTGTGGCGGCCGTATGCGAACGCTGGCAGTTGGGCCTTCGTTGGAGCTCCGTGCGGGGCCACGGTGCTTGCGAGGGGTGTGCCAAAACGGCGGTGGCCGAATGCGAGCGCTGGCATCTGGGCATTCGGTGGAGCCCCATTATGGGGCAACGAATCGTGTGAGGGGTGTGCCAAAATGGGTGCGGCGGTCGCGTGCGAGCGTTGGCATCTGGGCCTTCGGTGGAGCCCCCTATGGGTCCACGAAGCGTGTGAGTTTTGTGCCAAAATGGATGCGGCGGCCGCATGCGAGCGCTGGCATTTGGGCCTTCGGATGAGCTCCCGATGGGGTCACGAAACGTGTGAAGGGTGTACCAAAATGGGTGCGGCGGCTGCATGCGAGCGTTGGCATCTGGGCCTTCGGTGGAGCTCCTGTGGGGTCACGAAACTTGTGAGGGGCGTGCCAACATGGGTGCGGCGGCCGCGTGCGATCGCTGGCACTCGGGCCTTCGGTAGAACACCCTATGGGGCCATGGGCGGAGCTCCTGTGGGGTCACGGCGCGTGTGAGGGGTGTGCCAAAGTGAGGGGCGTTGCTGGAGGAGGAGGGGGAGGAGGAGCAGGAGCAGGAGGAGCAGGAGGAGCAGGAAGAGGGGGAGGAGGAGGAGGAGGAGGAGAAGCAGGAGCAGGAGCAGGAGGAGCAGGAGGAGCAGGAGGAGGAGGAGGAGGAGGAGGAGGAGGAGGAGGAGGAGGAGGAGCAGGAGGAGCAGGAGGAGCAGGATGAACAGGAGGAGCAGGAGGAGCAGGAGGAATGGGATTTGCAGGAGGAGCAGGAGGAATGGGAGGAGCAGGAGGAGCAGGAGGAGGACAAGGACAAGGACGAGGACGAGGACGAGGACGAGGAGCAGGAGCAGGAGCTGGAGGATGAGGAGGAGGAGGAGAAGGAGGAAGAAGAGGAGGATGAGAAGGAGCAGGCGTAGACGCGGGGATCTCTTTCCAAAACGAAGACCCAACACCACAGGATGGCTAGGAAAAATACGATCGGCAGCCCCTGAGGCCGCCATCCATGATAAAAGCTACAGGACGCTCCCAGGCGCTCCGCAGCGCTCCCAGACGCTCCAGGAGCGCCCAAGCGCTCCCAAGCGGCCCCAGGCGCTCCACAGGGGGTCCCGAGCAGCCCTATAGGCGCTCTCAGACGCCTCCTGGCGCTCCCAAGCGCACTGCGAGCGCCCAAACGCTCACAGGCAGCGCCAGGCGCTCCTCAGGCGCCCCCAGACGCGTGAGATGCTCCCAGGCCCTTCCAGGCGCTCCAGGAGTGCCAAAGCGCTCCTCGGCGGCCCCCTGGCGCCCTTCAAGCGACCCAATGCGTTTGTAGGCGTCCCCCGGAGTCCCCAGACTCCCAGGCGCTCCCAGGCGCGCCCAGGCTCCCAAGCAGCCCCAGGTGCTCCCCAGGCGGCCCCAGGCGCCCCCAGACGCGCTCAGATGCTTCCACACGCTCGCAGCCGCTCCCAGGCGCCCCCAGGCGCTTCAGAAGCGCACCCGAGCGCTAGCAGGCGTTCCAGAACCGCTCCCAACCGCTCCCAGGCACTGCAGGAAGCTCCAGGAGGCCCCAGGAAGCGCAGGAGGCCCCAGGGAACCCCAGGAGGCCCCAGGAGGCCCTGGAGGAGGCCGCCGATGCGACGCGCGAGCCTTCCCTCGCGCGCTCGAGCGCTGCCAGCTCGCGCGGGGGGAGTGTTGCAGTCCTCCCCGCGCCGACCCCCGCGCGTGAGCTTGTGCGTTCCGAGGCCACCGCCGATGCGGCGCGCGAGCCCTCTCCCTGCGCGCGCAAGCGCTGCCCGGCCGCGCGAGGAAGCGGCTCGGCGCCGCGCGCGAGCGCTACATCGTCGCGCGACGAGGCCGCTTGGCGCCGCGTTTTGGCCCCCGCGCGAGAGTCTCGCGCCGAGGCCGCCGCCGCTGCGACGCGCGAGCCCGCGCCCGAGGAGTCCTGACGCGGGTCGAAGGTTCCCGAGAACGCCCTCCATTTTCCATGCAGCCCCCCCCCCACCCTGCGCGCAATGCGCCCGCATGTGCGGCGTTGTTCGACGTTCGTCACCCGTCGTCTGTAACTCGTCGTCGTTCGCCGTTCGTCGACGGTCGTGGTCCATTGGTTGTTCGTCGCTCGTCGCTCGTCGTCGTCGTCGTTCCTCGGTCGTCGTTCGTCCGTTCGTCTTTCGCCGCCCGTTTGTAGTCGTTTGTCGTTCAACGTTCGCCGCCGTCGCCGTTCGCCCAGAGTCGCGCCGCGGTGCGTCCCGCGGGGAATTGTGACGCATGTCATCCTTTTCATTTCAAAGGGGGCGGCGTGGGGGCGGAGGCTAGGAGGGCGCTCACTCTCGGGCGCAGCCGAGGCAGGGTGGGGGGCTGGGACACGAGCGTCGCGCGCGCACCAAAGCATCCCACCCCCAACAATCCAGCTGAGGGGGATGCGTGCGCGCGCTCCTTGTCAACAGTCTCTCTCTCTCTCTATCCCTCTTTTGTTTGTTGTTTCTATCTCTCGATACATATTTATATATACTACACATGCTATATATATGTACACATGTATTTCGTTATTTCTCTCGCTCTCTCTCTCTCTGTCTCTCTTGTTGTTCTCTCTCTCCGTTTCTCTCTCTTTCGAACTGTCGGATTCCACGCGGATCTCCTGGACCGGCGCCAGAAACCCCTCCCTGGCGCACGGAACGCGTCATGGACGGCGTCAGAGGCGCCGCCAGCAACACCGATCCAAGAAATCCGCGCAGAGTTCCTGTTGTTGCATGGTTGCACCGCTGTTTGTTCACATACTATATCATGTCGCCCCTCTGTCTCACTCTCATTTGCTTTGTTCTTCTGGCACACACGCACACGCACGCATGCATGCACGCACGCATGCACACGCGCACACTCGCGCACACACGCACAACATGCGCACACACACACACACACACACACACACACACACACACACACACACACACACACACACACACACACACACACACACACACACACACACACACGCACACGCACACGCACACGCACACGCACACGCACACGCACACGCACACGCACACGCACACGCACACGCACACGCACACGCACACGCACACGCACACGCACACGCACACGCGCACGCACGCACACGCCGAGGACCCGAGGCTCTTCCAGCTGGTCCACGAGACCGAGCGCGGCTTGATGAGGGTGTACAAGGCGGGCGCGGCGTGGCCGAGCTTCGGGTGGCGGCGTGAGGGGACGTCGTCACCGAGGTCGTCGTTGTCCTCCTCCTCCTCTTCCTCCTTGCTGTTTTGCGCGTCCTCGGCGTCGCCACTCCCCCTCCTGATGTAACTCGCTCCCCCCCCCCCGCGGCTCCAGGAGGAGGACAGGGAGGCTGGAGGATGGATCAGGAGGAGGAGGAGGAAGAATATGAAAGCTTCTGGGCAGGGAGGGCTCTTCTTCCCCTCTCCCCTTGCTTCCGCCCTGCCCCCCCCCCCCTTCCTACGTCTCCCCCTTTTTCGTTTTCAACGGCCTGCCTCTTTTTGCTCATCTACCTTCTCTTCGCCGTGGCCGCCTGCCTGCAGGAGCCCTGCGGGTAGGTTTTGTGTGTGTGTGTGTGTGTGTTTCGCTGCGGCGTTCGGCAGCGTCGGTCTTCCCCTTGCTTTGTGCAGCGCGCCTGGACCTTGCTCCGCTGTCGTGGGCTCTGTCGCCGTCGTGTGGCCGTGTCGCCGCACTGCTCGTCCCCGTCTCTGGGCGGCGTCACATTTGTCGCACCCGCCACCCGCGCCCAGGTGGCCTCTCCTGTGGGCGTTCGATCCAGCGGGGTCCCGCGTCTGAGGGTCCGGCCGGGCGCGCCAGTTCCGTGTTGCGTGCTCGGCGTGTTTCGCCTCGTCGATGCGCGCCAGGCCGCGACCGCCAAGTGGTGCGTGTGTGTGTGTGTGTGTGCGTGCGTGCTGTGTGTGTTATGCGCATGTGTGCCGTTTGTGTAAGTGCGTGTATATATATATATATATATATATATATATATATATATGTATTGTACGTGCTCGCGCGCTATGTGTTGTCCAGCGGGCCTCCCCACCGTGTGCCGTACCAGGATACGGCTGAACAGAACTCTCTACAGCCCCTCTTTGCTCAAGGTTTCTTGGGCACCAGTCTCGCCGCCCCGTGCATGCAGGCGGCGGCTGGCTGGGTTCTTGGGATCCTCGCGTCCCGCTGGTCCGCGCCGGCGCCGCCCGCGGACCCGTCCTGCACCTGCATCTTCAGCGGGCACGAGCCGGGCTCGGGCGTGCTGGACATCCTCCGGGAGCAGCTCTCGCGCTGCGGCCCGGAGCACCTCGGGGCGGCCTGCCCCGCGTGCCCGGCCTGCGTCTGTCCGCAGTGCCCGGCCCCAGCGGCCCCGTCCGGGGCCTGGGCGCTCGTGGTCCTCGTCGGGCTCGCGAGCTTCGCCGCCGGCGTGGCCGCTGCGGCTGCCTGGCTGCTGCGGGTGGGGGCGCCTCGCGCCGTCCTGCCGCCGCTGGCCCTCGCGGAGGGGCCTGCTGGGGAGCGCGTCGGTGCGGCGACGCCGGCGACCCTCCAGCGAGTGCGGAGGCGGGCTGGTGCTGTGAATGCCGAGGGCGCTTGACGTGCCCTACGCCCAGTGCCTGGTGCGGTACGACGACGACGAGAACTTCCAGTGGCACCACAGGGTCCTCCTGGTCAAAGGGCCAGACCAATGGTGGGTCTGGGTCACTCCCGACGGGGAGATCGCGGCGGCCAACTTAGGAGGCTTCCGCGTGTGCGCCCTCCAGCGGGGGGGCGCCTTCCCCGACCGCTATCGGGGCAACATCTACGTCTTCGACGATGCCGATGTGGACGCCGCAGAGATGCACCAGTACTACCGCGAGGCGCGGGCGCTGGGGGACATCCTCGGGTATCCCGCCTCGGCCGCCCCCCTCGCCGTGGACGAGCGCTGGTTCGTCTCGGACCCCACCTCGCTCCACTACGGGGAGGAGGTGCCCGCGGCCGCCTTGGGCAACGACGAGCTGCTCCTCCGCCGGGGCGAGGTGGGCCTTGTGCTCATCGACGACGTGTGGCAGACGGCGGTGCGGGTCGAGGCCGGCAGCTCCTTCGAGGAGTGGCAGGCTCGGGCGCGTGGAGGGCCTGGCCGCGACCCGCGCATCGCCGGCGACGAGCGGGACGAGGAGAAGGATCGCTTCATGAGCTTCCGGACCTCTGTCTCGAAGATGCGCGAGCAGGCCATCCCTGGGTGGCCCCTCAAGGGGAAGCGGGCCACACGCGAGGCTTGCCTCGCTCTTCGGGATGCCGGACAGGAGGGTTGGGACGAACACCACACGACGTGGGTGAGAAGGTCCGGCATCCCGGAGAAGAGCAACACCGCCCGCGAGCACCGGATGCTCTGCTCGGTGCTCCGCATCATGCAGCAGTTCGACCAGCTCGACCTCTACAACGTGGCGGGGGTGGAGTACATGGTGCGCCGCTTGAAGCAGCTCGAGGCCGCCACCAGGCGGAACCCGAGGCAGCCCGACTTCGACGGGCTCGACGTGGTGCTGGACGCCGCCATCGACGAGTCCGGCGGCTTCGTGCTCCCGGCCTTCGATGCCTGGGTCGGCGAGCAGCAGCGGTCCGAGGCGGCCATCATGAAGGCAGGGAGGCAGTGGCGGGAGGAGACTTCGGCGGGCGGCTCCAAGGACAAGCCGCCGAAGCACCCCAAGAAGGAGGGCAGCGGGTAGGCGGGCGAGGGGCCCCCTACCCTGCCGTCCCGGCCGGCGGGCTCACCGCCCCGCGGCGCCGGGCCGGCCTTCCCGGCGTGGGCTCCTCCACGTCCGCAGTTTTGTTCTCTTCGGCATGGCTCGTCGTGATCATCGTCGTCATGGTGAGCCTCTGCCCCTTCCGGTCCCGCAGCCCTCCGGGTTCGTGGACCTGGCTGACGCGCCGAGGTATCTGGCCCTCCGTGCCGTACGTCGACGCTGTCGCGAACACCGACTTCGGGAAGCCGTTCGCTCGATCAACGACCTCTCCCGTGCCTCGGTCCACGGGTTCGGCAGCGTGCCAGCCCGTGGCTCCACCAAGCCCGGCGAGCCCTCCGCCACGCAGGCCAGTTGCCTCGCCCACTTGCGTCGCAACATCGGCCGGCACGGCCCACGGCCGCCTGGGCTCACACCTCGCGGGGCCCTTCAGGAGCTCCTCAAGTCCGACTCGCTGTACGCCGGGGCGCCCTCCAAGGTCGCACCCTACAGTGAGGACAAGCTCAAGTTCTGGAAGTCGAAGATCGTCCCGAAGCGTGTCGAGGACATCTGCCCCGACTTCGTCGTCCGCGCCTTCGCCGACCCCGATCGGTACGTGCGGAAGCCGGACAGGGTCTTCTTGGCTGATGCGGAGGTGCTCGACCCCATCGTGCCCTACTGGGACCCTCACCTCGCTGGCTCGCCCGACGCGCGGGTCAGGTTCGTCCGCCGCCTGGCGGAGCGAGGCCTTGTCGGCTACCGTCGGCGTATTCGTGCTCGCGTGGGCTGCTTCTTCGTCGAGAAAAAGGGTGGGTTCATCAGGCTCGTGGTCGACGCCCGCGAGACGAACCGGACCCACTGGAGTCCTCCGCACGCTGCCCTCGGGACTCCGGCCGCGCTCGCCGAGCAGGACTGGTCGGACGCCGCCCTGGGAGCCTCCGACGCGACCTCGGCGCCCGCCATCTACGGTGCCTCGCTCGACCTGGCCGACAGCTTCTACCAGTTCTGCTCGGACGCCCTCGCGGAGGACTTCGGGATGGACTACCCCGAGCCCGCGTCGGTGTACGGGGCGACGCACGTCTGGGAGGGCGGCCGCTTCATCCCCGTCGGCGCCGACGAGGTGGTGTTCCCCGCCTTTCGTGGCGTCGCCATGGGCTGGAGCTGGGCTCTTTGGGTCGTGCACTCCTCGGTCACTTCGTGGGTGGGTCACGCGCTCTCAGGCGGGCCTGCGAGCCTCGTCCTGGACCGTCAGCCGCCGCGCCCGGCGGCCCCGGGCAGGCCCGCCGGCTCCGTCTACGTCGACAACGTGGGGATCCTGGGTCTCTCCGCCGCCGATGCCGCGGCGGGCCTGGCCAGCGTCATGGAGGAGCTCGACCGCCGGGGCATCGTGTACCACGAGGTCTGCGAGCCGTCCCTCGAGTTCGGTATGGTGGGCGTGGTGTATGATGGCCTCCGTCGGACTCTTCGCCACTCCGACGAGCGGGCCTGGCGGCTCTACCTCGCCTGCCTGGAGCTGGAGCGCCCGGGCGTGCCCCGTGCTGCGTGGCAGGTGCGGGTCGTCCTCGGGCACTTCATCCAGCACTGTCTCCTCCTGCGGCCAGCCATGTCCATCTTCCGCCACCTCTACAGGTACGTGGACGAGTGCCGGCTCGGGCCGCCTTCGCCTCTGCCGGGTCCCGCTCGGCAGGAGGTCCGTGTCTTCCGAGGGCTCATCTTCCAGGCGGTCGTCGACCTCGCCGCGCCCGTGTCGGACATCGTGCTCTGCTCCGACTCCTCCGAGGCGGGCTACGCCCTACACCGCCGGCGCTGCGACCCCGAGGCGGTGCGCCGACTCGCGCGCCTTCGGGAGCGCTGGCGCTTCACGCCCGACGAGAAGCGGCCCGAGGCCCTGGAGGACGACACCTACACGCCCGGCTGGCTTCCTGGCGCTGGAGGGGTGCTCGGTGAGGGGGACCCCAGCTGCGGCATTGCGACCTGGGCCCCGCCACCGAGGAGGGCCGACGAGCGCCCCCACGGTACCGTGCGGGCTCGGGTTGCACAGGCCCCGCGGCGGGCGACCTTCGAGGACATCCCCGACGAGCTCGTCGCCCCTGACGCCTGGTCGCTGGTCGTGGAAGGTGCCTGGAGGACGCGGGCGCCCATCCACATCCTGGAGGCCCGAATCGCCCTCGCGGGGCTCCGACACGCCTCCAGGAGCCTCGAGTGCCACGGGCGCCGCGTCCTCAGCCTCGGGGACAACATGGCCGAGGTGCTCTCGACCGAGAAGGGCCGCGCCGTCGACGTCGGCCTCGGCTCCGTGTGCAGGCGCAGTGCTGCCATCCAGGTGGCCACCGGCATCCGCTGGCGGCGCCGATACCTCGACACAGAGAGGAACATCAGCGATGGTGGCTCGCGCAAGGCCCTGCAGGGGCTGTACCGCCCTGGACAGCGTCGCGTGGGGCCTGGCGCCGGCGCCGCGGGGGCTGTGGGACGGCCCGGTGCGGCCCCGCC